GGGTGGGGGGGGGAATGTGTCAATCATACCGCTATCCATCCTGTTTGGCAGGAGGTAACTGTCAAAACTATAGACACAACCCAAATGACGTCACAACGGCCACGATCCAATCACATCATAAATCGAAATAATTAATACAATGACGGCAGAGAGAAATGATCGAGTCATTGTGGAAGGATCCGTAAGCAATAGTAACCTTCCCCCGCTTACCCAGACGACCATAACTGCGTGCACAACTTTTTCCTTACCGGGTCACCGGGGCGCTTTATTCTCAAACACCTGCAAATGGAGCGTACACTCGATGGGCGCCGCATGTATCAATATTTACCTAGGCTGCTATTTCGGTCAGTGGAGCACTCGGACGGCGACACACACACACACACACACACACACACACACACACACACACACACACACACACACACATGTGCACACACGGATATATACATTATCTCACGCATTCACACTAACATACACATGCATGCAAACATACACGCGCACACACACACATGCACACACACACACACACACACACACACACACGCACAAACACACTTACAAACATGCATTCACACACGCATAAACAACATGCACACATACATGCACGCACTCACAAACACACCAGCATACACACAGGCACACACAGGCACACACACACACACACACGCGAGCGCGCGAGCGCGCGCGCGCGCGCGGTCATGGACTCCCATGCACACATACACACACGCACGCATGCACACACACACACACACACACACACACAGACACACACACACACACACACAATGTACACATACACGGACATAAACCCACAGACACACATCTATCGAGCACAAGTGACCCCTCACCAAACCCCATTTCCCCACTTATCCCAGGCTACCTTTGTCTTTCGCCACGACGAAAGACCCCCAAAGAGACAACACACTCAACAAGAACTGGAGAGGCCAGGAAAAAAGTACCCCACTCAAAAATGGGTAAGTGGGCTGGAGTCAGTTGACAGACGCCAAAAGGCCCCCAAAACTCCCAGCTTCAAAAGCGAAAGAGAAGGCTAAAAACTCCCCCGTCACGTGGCTTCGCTTTACCTATTGATATAGGCACGTGTGAGTGTCGTGTGTCGCTGATGGTAGCTGTGGCATGTCGCTCTCTTCTACCTACCAAAGTCTCAGAAATCCGCACGCAGGAGTTTGAAACTTTTGTATTCGAAGATAATATAAAAAAGAGAAGATAAGAAGGATTCAAGGGGGTAAGAAGGAACAACATCATACAAGTAAATGTGAGGCATGCTGACAAAATGAGTTACTTCTCGCAATCCACAAATGGAGATATTGGCAAAAAATCACCATTAGGGTCAAACTTGTAGATTTTCAGTTGATGCCATATTCTTTAACTCTAACCTGTCTTTTATTATTCCCTACATATAAACTGTAAAAACTTCACCTATAAGCATGATGTATCTATTCCCTTAAAGCTTGAATCTGAGAAGTAACTCATTTTGTCAGCTCACATCAAAAATCATTAGCAAGTCGTTTGCTTATTTTTGGTGGGATTTATAATACATTACGCTTACTCTCAAAATATTTTTCGTAAAGAGAGGAATAAAAAGACGGACCTAGATCCGTTAGTGGAATTCTTTAAAACAGTACACAAAACTTGCAACATGTGTGCTCTGTGGGAACTTGTTACACCTTTATAAGCCCCGGAGTTGCTCGAGATTACGATCCCACCTCTTTAGATCATATCTGAGACATCATGCTAATTTTATACTCCCAGCCGTGGTCGACACAAGCCCAACAACAGACCTAAAGGAGAAATAAACTCGCACTTTGATCGAGAAAAATAAAGATTGGCCCACCTGCAGGTGTTGTGATCGCTTTTTATCCCCCGGGCTAATCTGAATGGCAAGCAAAGCTATTTCGACTTTCAGCGTTGAAAAACACTGCATCGTTTCTCTGTTTGCAATCCTCAATCAGCCCCCTCCCCCTTCTCCCAACCAACCCCTCTCTCTCTCTCTCTCTCATAAAAACTGAAAACGTACACGTACTCCGAACCTTATTTATTGATTTGCATGTCCGAGGTCAAGAGAGGTACATCAAAACTTTTACGGCTAACAACCGCGAAATGTGGCTCAGCGGGCTACAAACTTGAGCGACAAGTTCGTAGTTGAAACTCAACAGGAGCCTACTGTCATTTCTCGAGACAATACATTTCCTCTCAGGAAAGTGTCCCGGAAGAGATCTCACACATAAAATGTCAAAACACAAATCTACTGATGTCGACTGACAATAATCTCTTTTGTACGCTGCCTGTGAACTTCTTGGCTTCAACAGTAACTGTAGCAACAAAAATAACAACAAAACAACAACAATAACAACAATAATAACAACGACACCAACAACAATAAAAACTGCAAGAACGACAACAAAAGCGACAACGGAATAATAACCACAATTGCAGTGAACCTCCACACTTCATAAAGCATGTTCATGTAACTATACCTTTCGAAAAGTAGCAGAATGGACACACGCGATTACCCCTCAGTGTGTGAAATATTCATACCACTAATAGACTCAATCAGATGGAAATTGCTGTGTTCATCGACAACTGTGGCCAAGCAATTAATAAGATACATAACAGGCAATTATCTCATGCTTTAGCACACCAGCTTCGAATCGCTCTTATATAAGATTGGGCGAAGTCATTCAGGGGGGAACATAATATATATTATATTGATCTAGTCCCATTATTCGTTTGTTTTCTTTGAGCTTCAGAGTGAACACGTATGACACCTACAGTTAATTAATGAGACAGATGATAAAGAGGGCTGCG